GGCTTAGAAATAGCATTTCCATGTAGACTGTCATTGAAACATAAACTTTCATGCACATACAAGTGTGTATACTTGTTATACACACAATTTACACATTCCATTGAAACGAAAACAACTCTGAAAAACATGCTTATCATTCCACCCTCCTTTCCATCCCTTCTCTGCTTTATCCTTAGGTAAATGTCTCACTTTTGCTCTTGAATGGTTGATCATTACATGGTGAGCATACCTTACAAGTGTTGTTGTTCCCCCATATGCCTATTTACTGTTTGGCTTAAAATTGGGCCACTAAGGTGAGTTTCTTTCCAGAACTGAAGTATGGTCGAGATACATAGTCTTAGATTCCTCCAGTCTTTCTGACCAGTAAGACCATTCTTTTTATATGATGTTGAGTTTAGTTTCACAGTTTCTTCCTTATCTGAGATGGACTGGACTGGTCATTTTGAATCTGACAATCATATGGTTTGCCATGCCAGAAATGATAAATAGAAGAGGAACAGCACCATATTCATCATCAAAAAGAACATTTTAAGATCTATCTTGATGTATAATGGTGTCTTGATAGGATAATATCCATATGCCTACAAGGAAGACCAACCAGTTAATGCCACTATTATTCAGATTTACACATCAAACTCTAAATCCAGTGATGATAAAATTTTAAAGCTCTATCAGCTTCTTCAAGGAGCTCTGGTAGCGTAGTGGTTACGAATCAGGCTGCAAACCGCAAAACCAGCAGTTCGAAACTACCAGATGCTGGTTCCGTGGGAGAAAGATGAGGCTTTCTGCTTCCGTAAAGATTTATAGCCTTGGAAACCCTGTACAGGTCACAATGAGTCAGAACCAACTCTACGGCACATAGCAACAACAACAACATCAGCTTCTTCAGTATGAAATTGATCAAACATGCAATCAAGATGCATTAATAATTACTCATAATTTGAATGCAGAGGTTAGAAACAAAGAGGAAGGATCAGTAGTTGGAAAATATGGTCTGGGTGATAGAAACAATGCTTGAGAATGCATGATAGAATCTTGCAAGATTGATGACTTATTTATTGCAAATACCTTTTTAAAACACAGTAAAAGGTAACTATACTCATTGACCTTACCAGATGGAATACACAGAAATCAAATTGACTATATCTGTGGGAAGATATAGTGGAAAATCTCCATATCATCAGCAAAAACAAGGCCAGCAGCAGGCTATGGAGTTCCTCATCACTTGACCTTTGCATTCAAATAATCTGAGAAACTGGATTATATGAAGAAGAACGTGGCACCAGGATTGGAGGAAGACTCATTGAAAGTCTGTGATATGTAGATAATACAACCTTACTTGCTGAAAGTGAAGAGGACTTACAATACTTACTGATGAAGATCAAAGACCACAACCTTCAGTATGGATTGCACCTCAATGTAAAGAAAACAAAAGTCCTCACCATTGGACTAATACATAACATCATGACAAATGGAGAAAAGATTGAAATTGTCAAAGACTTCATTTTGCTTGGATCCATTATCAACACTCCTGGAAACAGCAGTCAAAAAATCAAATGACGTATTGCATTAGGCAAATCCGCTGCACAAGACATATTTAACATGTTCAAGAGCAAAGATGTCAGTTTGAGGACTAAAATGTGCCTGATCCAAGCCATGGCATTTTCAATATCTTCATATGAATGTGAAAGTTGGACAATGAATAAGGACGACTGTAGAAGAAATGATGCATTTGAGTTATGGTGTTGGAGAAGATTATTAAAAGTACCACGGATTACTAGAAGAATAAATATATCTGTGTTGGAAGAACTACAGCCAAAGAGTTTCTTGGAAGCCAGGATGGTGAGACTTCGTCTCTCATACTTTGGACTTATTATCAGGAGGGACCAGTCCCTAGAGAAGGACATCATGCTAGGTACAGTGAAGGATCAACGAAAAAGAGGAAGAATCCCGATGTAATGGATTGGCACAGTGGCAACAGCAATGGGCTCAAGCTTAACAACATTGTGAGGATGGTGAAAGACTGGGCAGTGTTTCCTTCTGTTGTGAATAAGGTCTCTATTACTTGGTGGCACCTAACAGCAACAACAACAAGAAGTCTGGAGCCTTCTAATGTGATTGAAACTAGGGAAAATTTAAGGCAACATTTCATTTCTCCTGAGAAACATTTCTCTACCACACTTCTTCCCTCAAATAACTGAGCTTTTTTTGTTCATTCCTTTAGTACTCAGAAATCTTTCTGGATAGAATGATTTAGTTTGTGCTTATGTGTGTTACTATGGTAACTATGTAACAGCAATACTATTTGCAGTACCCACTGGAGCTTTGTAGCCATGTCTTTTGCTGCTTATGCTCAGTTTGCATTTTTTCAGCATTATTTTGAGGTCAGAGTGTTGTCCATATCCTGATATATATATGGGACAACACACTGACTCCATATATATGGAGTCCTGATGTGGCATTGTAGGATAAGCATTGGACCTCAAGTTCAGTTTGAACCTCAAGGTTGGTGATACAAACTCAATAGCCGTTCTTAAAAGCCCTAAATAGGGCTGCTATTAGTTGGAACCAACTCGATGACACTTGACAACTATCTATCTATCTATCTATCTATCTATCTATCTATCTATCTATCTATCTAACTTTTTACTGTGAAAGGGCAAAGGTTTACAGAGCAAATCAGTTTCCCATTCTACAATCTATACACATTTTGTTTTATGTCATTGATTGCAATCTTCATAATGTAACATCACTTGATTCACTTCCTCCCTGAGTTTGGCCTTTCTATTCTTAACCCTTCTGAAATTTGGGCTTGGGTAAATGTTGCCATTTTGATCTGAAGTGGTTGATTATTCTAAGAAGTGTGTACTCTCCTAATGCTATTGTTCTTATAAATCTGTCTATTGTTTGACTAAAAAACTAGTCAAGGGGGTGAGTTCATTTGCACATCTGAAGGGTTACTAAGGGCCATAGTCTTGAAGATTCCATCAGTCTCTATCTGATCAGTAAGCCTGGCTTGTTGTTTTATGATTTTGAATTTCATTTCACGTTTTTTATCCACTCTAACCAGGACCTTCTAATGTAATCCCTTTCAGAGCAGGAGGTACTGATAGCTGTCCACTATATAGTTCTTCTAACTTCAGGAGCATGGAAACTAATGTTCACATGATCCATTTGTTCATTGAATGAATTGTTTCCATGTTCTTCTATTTGCTTCATTCTTCTTTCCTCTGGACAGAAAGAGACCAATAGTTGCACCTTAGATGGTTGTTCAGCTTTTAAGACCCCAGTCACTACTCAACACAGTAGGATATAGACTATGTTATGCCAATTCACCTTCATATCTCCTGAGACTGTGGTTCTGAGGCTCCAGACCCAATGACTCATTCTCTCAAGGTCTTTGGTATTACTTGATTGTTATTTTTGTACATTGTTCTTATGCACACAGAAAAGTTATAATTCCATAGGAATGTAAATTTTATGTAAATTCTCTACTTAGAATCTTTTTCATTGTTATTTTTGTACATTGTCTTTATGCACACACCCTCCAGCATAGGGTTAGCTCCTGCACAATGATTGAGAGTCTCTGTGAACATTTTTCTAATAAAGGAATCGAATAAGTCAATCGTTATATGATACCCAATGGTTTTGTAAACTCTTTATCATCCTTAGAATTATTGTTCCTCTCTTACAGTCTAAACTATTTGATGTTAGAAACAATTTCATGTTAATTTTAGTATATATTTGTATATTACTGTGTCCAGCAAAAGTGTTTAATAGACTTCTGTTGAATGAATAAATAAATAAGCAAAGAGCTGAATGAGTGTTTGTCTCCAGTATTTCAAAGAGTGCCACAAATAAAATTCACATTCCCTTTTCAAATGTTCAACAAGCTAGTAAAATTTACCACAGAATCTGGTTCTTGGTAGATACAACGACGGTTGATATTCTTAATTCTTTGATATTAAAGTGTCATATCCCAACCTCAAATTTATTAAAAACAAAGAAAGATTTAAGGCAACTGATAAAAATATATAAAACGATTGACAGATGAAAAGAACATTGTCCACTGACAAAATTGGTGGAGATACTTTTAATTAATCTTTATTAATAAAGTGCAAATTAGAAATATTCACTAAATGCTCTATTACTCATGAAACTCCTCATAAATTTAGTTTTCCACAGGTACCTGGGATTGTCATAGAGAAGTAAATAAGTCTCTTTATTAAATTGGCTTCGCCTCTTTTCCATCTAATAGCAAACTGTTTCTGGAAAGTATACAAAAATATCCAGGTAATCTACTTATTTTTGTGCTTTTTGTGATTATAAGGAAAAGGTTCTTAAAATTCTTGACTTGTGTAAACACAAGTCTTTTAATTAGTTTGGGAGTAAGGTCATACCCAGATCCCTCTAAAAGCTGGATTCAAATTGTGAGTCTTCTCAAACAAATGCATATATGTTAAAATACATAAAATTTACATTCCTATGGAATATAACTTTTCTGAAGCCCATTCATAGAATTCCTAGGTCACCATGGACCTTTAGGTTAATTTCTCACAAGTTGTTGTTAAATGTCAGTCAAATCGGTTCAGACTCATAAAGACCCTGTATAGGGTTTCTGAGGCTTAAAATCTCTGTGGGAGCAGAAAACCTCATCTTTCTTTCATGGAGTGACTTTCTTTCATGGCTTGAACCACCACCTTGAGGTTCACAGTCCATTGCTTACTGTACAGAGTCACCATGGTCCCAAATTTTGAAGGTCTAATAACATGATGATGATATTATAATATACCAATGATAATACAGATACATTATATACATTCTTACATTATATCAGTTGTAATATAAAATCAAGGAATTTTTCTGAGTGAGGTCATGCTTAATGACTTCAGAGTTCTTTAGAAGTTCCCGAATTCAGTCATTTGGTGACATTCAAGATAATTGGAAAGAGAGTAACAACGGAGAAGACACAAAGCTAGGGACACTGTGTCCCTTTACTTTCACCTCGTTGTTTTCTTATTGAAACTCTTAGTAAGTAAAAGATGACACAAATAGTCTGCTACCATCTTCTTAAACATGTCCTTCAAAGCCTCCTTGACGCACTCATTGCGTAATGCATAGATGAATGGATTCAGCAGCGGTGTCACAAATGTTGTTACCACTGTCACTGCCCAATTAGTATCCACAGAGCCACTCTGTGATGGCCGTACATAGAGAAAAATGGCACTTCCATAGAACAGAGTCACCACCATCAAGTGGGAAGTACAAGTAGAAAAGGCCTTCTGTCGGCCCGAAGCAGAGGGGATGCGCAGGACTGCCAGGACAATGTGGCCATAGGATGTCACAGTAATCATCAGTGAGGATACAATCACAAGAGAGGCCAAGATAAAGTCAGTCTCTTCTAGCTTTTTGGTGTTGGTGCATGCCAGCCGGAGCAATGGGCCACTATCACAGAAAAAGTGTTGTACCACAGAATCATGTCCACAGAAAGGAAGCAAGGCCACAGCCACTGTGGGGCCAAGCACAGGGAGAAGTCCTCCCATCCAGCAGGCCAAGGACACACGGAAGCACACATCCCCACTCATGAGCAAGGGGTAGCGCAGAGGGTGACAGATGGCTAGATAACGGTCCACAGACATGACAGCCAACAGTAGGAACTCAGAGGCCCCAAGAAAGAAATAGAAATAAAATTGGGTAATGCATGCAGCAAAAGAAATAGTGTGTTGGCTTGAGAGGAAATTGCTCAGCATTTTGGGAATGATGACAGAAGTAAGCAGGATCTCTAGGCAGGACAGGTTGCCCAGAAAGAAGTACATGGGGGTCTGCAGGCGTGTATCCGCTCCAACCACCCCCACGATCAACACATTGCCTGTTAGAGTCAGCAGATAAACAAGAAGGAAAACAGAAAACAGCTCTGCTTTTGTGCTGTTGAAATTTGGGAAGCCTGCTAGGATAAACTCTGTCACACCACTGCTCTGGTTCTCGCCAGGAGCCATTATCTTTCCCACCTGTGCAACAATAGGAACATTTTCCTGATGAGAGTGGATTCTTCCAGAACAATTCTAAAACTTATTTTATCATGATTTGGCCCACATAGTCTCCTTTCTTCAATCACAGAGTCTATTAAAATTTGAAAATGCACCCGAGGGCATCTTTTGATTGATTTTGGAGCTGGAAGAAGGTTTCTATAAAGGATAGCTAAAAACTTTGGTGTAAAAATGCCAGGAGTTACCAGCTTCACATCTCCTGTTTTCAGATCTTAAATAGCACATCTCATTATTAAAATAAAGGTATCACCTAGTTGTATAACATGATTGATATAATTGCTTTCACTGAAATATACATGTGGAAAAGTATTGAAATGGAAAATTGTTTGTAATCTATATTTTTACAACAATAAAAAGTTATTACTGAGCATCTGAGCTGGCAAAAAAATCAGAGAACAAAAGTAATTTTGTGAATACCACTATTCCCATTCAACCAGAATCAGAACTTGAGTCAGACTTTGAATTCCAGCATCTCTGTTTACTAGCTGAGTAGCCTTGGAAACATTACATTTCTGTGCTCCTTAATTGTAAAATGTTTAAGTAGTGAGTGAAACATTCATGCAAAGAACTTAAAAGAGCTCTCACCACAAAGTTGGAGTTCTGGTGTGGTGCTGTAGGATAAGCACTGGACCGCAAGGTCTGTTTGAACAGCAAGATTTTTATGAATCGGAAGGGACTCGACAGCATTTAACAACAACAACGACACAATCAATTAATGTTAGTTAACAAAGAATTTGTTAGAGAGCACCTTAGAGTGTAAGTTAGAGAACCAAACTGTAGACTTGGCTCTGTTACCACCCTTGGAAGACTTGTCAATGAATGCAGCACCTATTTGCCTGTCAATCATTAAGTTGTAGCTGTTGTTGTTGTGAAGTGCCATTGAGTCGGTTCCGACCCATAGCGGCCCTGTATAGAGTTTCCAAGGAGCAAGTGGTGAGCTTGAACCGCCAATCTTATAGTTCAAACGGCTTTGCAGTCTGGTGCATTAACCCACAGCGCCACACCATGGAATTAGCCACAGGAAACTAGGTCATTCTTATGTCTATTATTTTCTTTTCATGGAGAATTTCTCCAGCAACTCAAAGGTCTGACTAAACTCAGCTTGTAACAAAGTGTTTGCTTTTCTAAAGAATGTTGTACCATGTGAAAAGGAGAGAATAGAAACATATTACATTGATTCCATCAGTCTGCCCATGTACATCCACTTAGTGTAAACTTCAAGCTAAGTATTCTGAGGAATATTAAACTGAATCCCTTTAACATTTTTAGTCCATGATATTTACCTATTGAAATAGCACTCCAAGTCCTTTCACAAACCTGGGTTTTATTTTATGATTTGCCTGGGACAGAATCATGAATTTCTGGCTGTAGTCATGAATGAAATCAGAAATGTAGTCCTTTTCATGCAAATCTTTCCATTTCTGAGGAACTAAGGAGCTCTGGTAGCGTAGTGGTTACGAATCGGGCTGCAAACCTTAAGGTCAGCGGTTCAAAACTACCAGCTGCTCCGCGGGAAAAAGATGAGGCTTTCTACTCCCGTAAAGATTTACACCCTCGGAAACCCTATACAGGGTCGCTATGGGTCGGAACCAACTCGATGGCACATAACAACAAAACACAACTCAACTGCACTTGACAACAACACACATCTAGTTAAGGAGTCCTGGTATATTGCTGTAGGATAATCACTTGACTGCACTGTCAGTTTGAATCACAAGGTTCAAATCCACCAACTGCCCCTCAGAAACCCTATACAGGGTCACTGTGAGTTGGAACGGACTCGACAGCACTTAACAACAACAATAACATAACTAGTTTAAAAGAACCAAATTAATGGTATTTTAACACTTTGTCTAAAAAAAAAGTCTCAGCTACTAGTAACTCTAGTAGTGTATTGGTTATGAGCTGGGCTATTAACCTCAAGGTCAGCAGTTTGAAACTACCCTGAGAGAAAGATGAGGTCTCTGGCTTCCGGCAGAACTGACTCCACATGCATACCACTGGCATGAGAATTCGCCTTCGAGCCCTATCATTTATTTACCTTGTATACCCCAGCAATCTTTGTTCCTGATTAACATTAGGCTCTTTATTCACAGTTTCCTCAAGTTTGAGTCCTAGATAAGGACATCTTTGTTTGTTTGTCTAAGATAAAGCTGTTCTTGGGCTACTCTGCCAAGATTTACTTATAGACAATAAAATCACTCCGCTTCTGCTCAGAACATATCATGTATCAGGTGTTGTACTTGTAACTCTGAGACAAAGGAGACCTTGTTGCTACCCACATGTAGTTTGCTGCCTAATGAGAATAACAGAAAAGTCAACATGTGGAACAGGAGGAATGTTGCAGGTAAGCCTGGAGTGCTAAGGAAACACATAGAAAGGGAATTAAACTGAGACCCAGAGAGACAGGAAGGGAGGCAATGCCTAACATAAATACTAGAAAAAATATATGAATTGACTAGAAGATAAGGGAGATTTTCAATGGAGAAAGAGCAGCATGTGAGCAGAGTACATTTGGGCTGACACAGAAAATAAGGGACTTATTAGAAAAATAGTAATCTGTTTACGTCAAAAAGGACTGTTTTTCAGCCCTCTCTGAGAACACACTTCTATTGAACTGAACCTAAAGTGTATCTTTTAAGTGAAAGGAAAATGAGTCCCAATCCTAAATATGAATGTAATCTCGCCTACCTACCCCTGAATGCCCTTGATGGTTCCATGAGAGTTACCCTGCAGGGGAAGGATGCAAGAATTCTCTTTCCCTTTTTATGATTCAGTGTTCTGCTCCATCCTGGAATTATTTCCAAACTCTGTACTGTGAGGCTGTGACAACAGTCTGACATCTTTGAAGATCCTGAGGATGGGCAAAACAATTGGGAATATAGGTCACAGTTGAATAATCTGATTCTCTTCTTGTGCTTTCCTCCTGGGTATAATTCCTTAGATGCTGCTCTTCTGCTTTGTAAACACAGGATTCTTTCTGATCCTAAAGAGCCTCAATCACTCTGCCCTTCTTGTGGCTAAGAGCAGGTCAGCTATCGGGGTCCCTCTCTAGAAAGCATGTCTTCTGCAACGTAATCATTGATTTATACTCGAGCAGGCACAATTCAAGTGAAGGGCAGTAGATTCACAATGCTCCCAGTACAAGGCTGGAAGGCAAGGGGGTAAATATGAAAAAACTAAGCCATTCATTTGATATCTATGAAAAAAACTTAACACACTTACCTATAGTTCCTTTAGGCGTTAATAGTTGAAAAATGTCCCTTGGAAGCCATGTCTTTACTCATTTTGCTGATGAATTTTATGTAGAAATTGTCAGTTTTCCTGTTTCAGATTCCATTTTCCCTGGCTCTGGAATTTATGTGGATTTATGGAAGAGCCAGTTCCGTATTGAAAGGTAGAATCCCTCCTGCATAACCTCAATTTCTAATGGAGATGGTTCCAAGTAAGGATTGATCTGGGCATCAGAAGTATAGCTAGCAGTAGTGCTTTCAAGAGAAAAGTGACCTAGATGGTGAGAAGATTAGACCACATGAGAAAGAAATAGAGAAAATAATTTCTAAAAGACTCAGGGGAGATTTATAGTTCAGTGGAAATCTCCCAGATTTTCAATGCCTGACAAATCTTAAAAGCAAGCTGACACTTCATTCAACAAGTGATGAATGTTTCAATCCTCATCTGACAGCCACTTCAAACCAAACAACTGCAAAAAGACTGGGCCAAGAAAGATGAGAATGAGGGAGCATTGGAGTTTGCCCAGTTATGGGAAGTTCTGACCATCATCCAGATTTCTCTTGCCTGGCACTTGGGGGAAATGTTTAAATCCCAAGAAACATAGACCTGTGTCTTATCCCTGAGGACTTGAAATGATATTGGGACTCCCTTGCCTTGGCTTTTGGGCTTTGCAGAAATGAGAGGCCCAAGAGCATGGTATGATAGGAGAAATTTCTGTATATCACATCTGTTTTTAGTACTTCTCCCATCCATGTACTTCATACTATACATGATTCCATACATCCATGACATTCTTTGACTACTGTACCAATGTTTATGTTTTCTACCTGTATTCATTCCATGCCCCTGAACAAAAGACTTGACTAACCCCTATTCATGGCCTCAGAACCAACATGTTGTGGTTCAAATCAGCTCTTCTGAGAAGCTCCGCCAACCCAATCCTATTGTTCAACCTGACCCATGGCAGGGTCTACTGATCTCAGTCTCAACACTGTAACTCTCTGCTTTCTTGTTGGATCCCTTACGAGAATCTGAATTCCTTGGGCAGGAATTATATTTTCATCTCTGCATTTCCAGTACCTAGTGTAGTGCTTGGTACATATTGTGGTTAAGTGCTGTCGAATCAGTTCCGACCTTCAACAATCCTGTATAGGGTTTCCTAGGAGCAACTAGTAAGCTTGAGCCACCAACCTTGTGATTCAAATTGACCTTGCAGACCAGTGCATTAACCCACAGCCGTCGAGTTGGTTCCGACCCATAGCGACCCTGTACAGGGTTTCCGAGGGTGTAAATCCTTACGGGAGTAGAAAGCCTCATCTTTCTCCCACGGAGCGGC